TTGGTCATGATGTCAGCCAGTTGATTTTCAGTTCTGCAAAGTTGTAACTATATCACCCCCTTACTTACTTGATCTCTCCAAAAATGATATTTTGTCTCTATGTGTTTACTTCTGCCATGAGACACTAGATTTTTTGCCAGGTCTATGGCAGATTTGCTGTCAACAATTAACACAGCAGAATTTGAATCATAAATCTTCAATTTAGTGAGAAGGTAAAGCAACCAGGAGGCTTGACATGCTGCAGAGCAAGCTGATATATATTCAGCTTCACAAGTTGATAATGCAACCACCGTCTGTTTTCTAGAATTCCAACTTATTGTTGAACCATTCAACATGAACCCTTGACCCATAGTGCTTTTCCTGTCAACTTGATCACCACTCCAGTCAGAATCAGAGTAGGCAACCAACCTTATATCACCATTTTCATTCTTCATTTTATTAGAAAACAGCAACCCATACTCCTTGGTTCCCTTTAGATATATCAATATTCTTTTTGCTGCAAGCATATGAGATTGCTTTGGACTGCTCATAAACCTGCTCACCAAACCAACACTAAATGCTATCTCATGTCTGCTCTGGCATATAAATCTTAGACTTCCCACAATCTGTCTAAACAAAGTTTCATTCACAACTTCCTCATCTTCATTTACTGCAAGCTTTAGATTTGACTCTGCAGGAGTTTCAGCAGAATTGCACTGCAACATGTTAAACTTCTTAAGTACTTCTATTATGTACTTTTGTTGGTGCTTGATGATTTCTTTTTCAGTGTATATGAATTCCAATCCAAGAAAAAAAGACAGTAACCCCAAGTCAGTCATTTCAAATTCACATTTCAGTTTCTCCTTAACTGCTTCTATGTCATCTTCATTGCTTCCTGTTATCACTAAATCGTCAACATAAAGACAAATAATAAGAACTTCACTTGACTCTGTGTTCTTTACATATACACCATGCTAAACAACACATTTATGAAATCCAACATCACCAAGAAAAGAATATATTCTTCTATTCCAAGCTCTTGGAGCTTGCTTTAACCCATATATAGCTTTTCTTAATTTTAACACTTTGTGTTCACTTCCCTTTATCACAAACCCAGGGGGTTGTCTCACATAAATCTCCTCATCAAACCATCCATTGAGAAAAGCAGATTTGACATCTAACTGCCACAATTTCCATCCTTTAATATTGTCCAAAGCAACAACCAATCTTACTGTCTCCAACCTTGCTACAGGAGCAAAAACTTCAGAATAATCCACTCCCTTCTTTTGCATGAATCCCTTGGCTACTAGTCTAGCCTTATGTCTAGCTATTGACCCACCTGGTTTCAGCTTAACCTTAAACACCCACTTGACAGATATTGGACTTTTCTGTTGTGGTAAGTCAACCAACTCCCAGGTCTGATTTTTATTAATGCTCTCTAGTTCTTCCTCCATTTCTTTTATCCACACTTTATCAAGAATAGCTTCATCAAAACTTACAAGTTCTATATCAGCCATAAGCGCCAATCCCTGAATCAACTCTCCATTATTAGCAATTTTGTCACCATTATAGACTTGATAGTCTGATTATCTTGCTGGAGCCTTCATGTTTCTCACTACTCTCTCATTCACCCTTTCTTACTCAGTGTTGTTTGTTTCCTCCTGCACGTTACTTTCTCCTAGCTGAAACTGAAAACCAGATTCAGTGGTTGATTGCAAGTCTGAAACAGGGCTAGATTCATCAAATATCACATCTCTGTTGAAACATACTTGTTCAATTTTGGGGTTAAAAAGTTTGTATGATCCAGTAGAGTTGTAACCTATAAAGATCATAGATTCACTCCTGTCATCAAGCTTCTTTCTACATTGTGATGGTATATGTTTGTAGCATTTTGAACCGAAAACTCTGAAATGCTTTACCGAGGGTTTAGTTCTAGTCCACACTTCTTCTGGAACTTTAAACTCAAGCCTTTTGGTGGGACATCTATTGAGAACATAAATTGTTGTCATTGCTGTCTCACCCTAAAACTGATTTGGCAAATTCTTCTGTCTTAACATGCTTCTCATCATATATGGTTCTGTTTCTTCTCTCAACAATCCCATTGTGTTGAGGAGTGTAAGGAGTTGTGATCTCATGAACAATCCCTTGTATTGTGCAAAACTTCACAAACTCATTAGACACATATTCTCCACCGCCATCTATGCGCAATATTTTTAGAGATTTTTCAGATTGCTTCTCAATCATCACCTTAAAATCTCTAAAAATGGTGAATGCTTCATTTTTTGTTTTCATCAAGAACAACCATATTTTCCTACTAAACTCATCTACAAATAGGATAAAATACCTATTTCCTCCCAATGAAAGCACATAAAATGGTCCACAAACATCTGAACAAACCACATCCAACAAACCTTTAGCTCTAGACATTGTATGTGAGCTAAAAGATTTTCTAGACTGCTTACTGATCAAGCATTTATCACACACTTCCTTTGGTACTGTTATTGTGGGCAGACCCGTCACCATACTGTGTTTCTTTAAAAGACCCATGTCCTTAAAGTTTAAATGTCCCAATCTTAAATGTCATAGCCAAGATTCATCTACAGAGGCAGATAAACATTGAGAGTTTAGGGTACTCAAACTCACCTTGAGTTCTGTTTTGGGGCAGTGGAACTTTGATCGCTAATTTCTCTAATGCATCATAAACTTCCAGAGAATTATTCACCATCTTCATAGAAAATCCCTTTTCCAAAAGCTGACCCATACTGATTAAATTGCTTTTCATTTCAGGGACGTATAAAACGTTTGTAATCATCACCTTTATTCCATCCTGTCTGGTTACCAGGACATTGCCAGCCCCCTCAGCTTGAATTACTCTATTATCTGCAAACCGTATAGTGCTTCTCTTGCTGCTATCAAGATTAACAAACCACTCACGGTGCCCTGTCATGTGATTTGAACACCCAGAATCGATATACCAACTATCGTACGCAAGACTATCTAAACCTGCACCCATCATTAACATCACAGGATGTTCTTCATATTCATCTTATTCTTCTTTGACCATGTGTGCTTGGTGATCGCTGCTTTTCCCTTTACTCTCCATCTTCCTTGGTTCTGTTGTACATTCAATGGAGAAATGTCCAATATGGTTGCAGTTGAAGCATTTGATTTGTTTCTTGTCAATCTTTCTTTTGCCTCCTCTCCAATTTCCTGCCCCTTTAGACGATTCTGCCTCTTCATCATTACTTCTTTCTTGTTCTTGATTCTGATTGAATCTTTCAGAACCATTCCTGAAATTTCTCCCCCTTCTGCGACCACAATAACCCCCTTTCGACTAATTACTATTCTTCTTTTATGCTTGAGCTTGCAATGCCTGGTGATCGCTCGTCTTGTCAGTTTCCCTCTCGATTAACCTCTGTTCATGGGCTTATAAACAACCTTGTAGTTCTTCTACTTTCAATTCATCAATTTTCTTAGACTCTTCAATGGCCACGACGATGTGATCAAATTTAGGGTTTAGAGTTCTCAAGATCTTCTCTACGATTGTCTGATTTGCCATCTTCTCACCACAGTTCTTCATGGCATTTGTGTGCATTACGATTCGATTAAAGAAATCAACTATTCTCTCATTGCTTTCCATTTGCATCAGTTTGTATTGACGCCGCATGGTCTGCAACCTAACTTTCTTCAATTTCTCCGCTCCATCGCTACATTTCTCCAGAATTTGCCACGCTTCATGAGAAGTTACAACTCCTGCAATCTTCTCGAAGTGAGCTTCATCAACACATTGATGAATAAGGAATGTGGCTTTACAATCCTTCTTCTTGTTCTCGCGATAAAGATTCTTCTCCGCCTCCGTAGCTTTCTCCCCAAGCACAGAGAACTCTTCTTCAACCACTTCTGCAACTTCTTGATATCCAAGAATTGCTTTCATTTGAACGCGCCACCGATCCCAATTCTTTCCATTGAGACTAGGCAAATTGGTTGAGAACGCACCAGGTCTCATCGAACCTTGCTCCTGATACCAGTTGTTGGGTTTAACAGTGAAAAGAGTTTGAGAAAGATACTGAGAGAACAAAATGTACCAAAAATAATAAGAAAAAGTTAATTGTATTTATTTTGAAATATATCTTGATATTTATACTGTATACCAAGTTAGAAATTGAACTAACAGAACATAACAAAATTTTTTATTTTGAATCATATATCTAACACTAACAAACATAATACCCACTTACAGCTTATACAAAATTTAAACGATAATAAATAAACAAAATTTAAACTGCAACAAATAAAATGTTATTCTTTATGAACATTGTGAGTACACACTCATTCATACTTACCTGCCTGTGACATGTCCAAGATGGTAAGCGAACAGAAAATTTACCAAAAGTAAAAAAACTATGAGAATTATGACTTCCATTAGTGACAATGTTTAGAAATTCAAATGAGTATAAGGGAATAAAGAGACAGGATTGATGAAAAGAAGGGAAGAAATTATTGGTGAAGAATTTGATTTCCTTTATTCAGTTACACTCTCTCAGTATACTTATGTGTCTGTGTTTTCTGTTGTTTGCCCAAGGACAAAATCATGTTTGGAAGGTTCAGAAGAGCACACCCAACATGGAGGGCGTCGCCGCTTCATAAGGCAAATTCCTATACCATTTTGTAGATATTATTCTTCTTGATATTATAATAATTTATGTATATTTTGTGAATTATTACATTTTTTTTATTTTGTATTTGTGAACATGTCAATTACAGGTCCTTAAGTCACATCTATGTCTTAAGGGGATCTTGTAAAATTTTAATGTAATTGTCTGAATTAAACTAAAAAACAGTGCATGTAGGGTGGCTCGTTATTTGGATAAGTTATGGATATTCATTCACCTCAAGGCAGTAGCACTTTCCATATTTAAGAAATAAAAAACAAACCAATTATTACTTTATTATGTTGATTTTAACGTAGAGAAATGGACGTTTTGATTGAACACTAATGTTACTTTATTTAGTTATTTATTTTATTCTGTTAGAGAATCATCCTGTGTCTGTTTCTTCCTATAAAGGAGAGTAGTAAAATAATGCAGTTGGAATCATCACATTTCTTCTGCGATCCGATGAATGGGAAAAGGTAGTGTCAACATTAAATATAATTTCTATTCACAAATCATCTCTTTTGTTATATTCCTTTTTCTTCTGCTCCTTCTCCACCTGTTCCTGAAGACGCGGGTTCAAAATTAAAAAACCTTGTTCTATTACCACTTTTTCGACTGTCTTTCTTCTTTTACTTTTCTAACGTCTGCACCGTATCATTTCATCCGTCACGGTTTCATTTTACACTCTAATATTTTAATTTTCATATTTAGCTCTGTTCCATTTACAATACACTCCAAAATTTATATTCTATTTTTTTCAAGGAATATTATTTTGATATTAAAACATATTTAATGTCTATCCATTTTTTTTTCATTCTAAATGTGCTTTTATTTTATTTTTCTTAACATCTTTTTTTCATATAATAATATATCTATATGCACTTTAAAACCACTATAATTACTTAGTTGATAACTTATTTTACAAACAGAAGTAGTAAAATATATGAGTTTCTTAAAATAAATATAATAAAAAAATACGAATTTTATGCTTAGTTTGAAATAAAAGTCAATAAGAAAATTTGTTTTATATTTTTCTACGTAAGAAATATTGTAAGTTTACTTTTTATTGCATATATTTGACCATGTCGTATTTTATAGAAACCCACTTATGGTATATATATATATATATATATATATATATATATATATATATATATATATATATATATATATATATATATATATATATAAAAGTAAAGTGTGTATGAATCTATTTCCATTTCTTTTATACGCATGCTTATAATATATAAAAAAAATCTTAAATTTTGCTCATATAGACATTACAACTTTAATTTTATCTTCATTGTTCTTTGAATTTTATCCTTTTTATAAATAGATATCTAGAATTTTAATTTTATTCTAATTATTTCTTAAAAATTATTCATTTTTTTTTACCGATTTGAATTAGATAGTTATCATAAAAGCCAATAACTAAATATTTTTTCTTATGTTTGTTATAATTCATTTTTTACGTGTTGACATATAATAAAACAATATTTTAGAATATAAAGAAAATAATAAATTATGTTATTCCAATTTTTCTGCAAAAGTTTATTTGCTGTGACATTATAGCTTTTTAAGAATGTTATTCAGTTCAATAAATGGAAAAGCGTGTCTCTAAATGAATTTACAGGATAAATATTATCATTATTTTATTAAAAGAATAAGATATTTTTTATAAACTAATATTTTTTTAATTATTTATAAAAATATTTGTGAAAACGTAATATCCTGAATTAGATTAAATTTATCTACAATAACTAGTTTTTATAATGAAAACATATCATTATTATTATTACATTCAATATATTATCTTATTATAAAGCCATCAATGGTGGCTGTAAAAGGGACCCAACCAGCTTGTGCAACTTTGACTTTCACCCACAAACACAACAAATCGTGTGAATTCGTCACCCTCATACATTCATACTCTTTCTTGCTTTACAAGTTCTTTCTTTATAATTTTCATGGAGTGTTAAACTATTTTTACTAGAAGTTGTTTTAAAAAAATTATGAATAAATATGTGTAATGTTTAATTGTACTACGTTAAATTTCATGAACGCTTATACGTCAATTATTTATTGATTTATTAATTAATTATGCATGTACTTGTACTACGTTAAATTTCAAACTTTTAGATATAATAAATTGAATTAGATATAAATTATTAAAACTAAATATTACTTAAAATAAATTAATTTTATAAAGTGAGTTGTAATATATTTAGTCATTACGAAAAGAAAACGTAATATATCTTAAAAAGTTACACATTACTTATAATTTTCACTTTCACGTAAACAATAAAATGAATGATAATAAATATATAATGAATTTAAAAATATATGATGTTTTGATATCCTACTTAAAAATATGAATTTTTTTATATTATTGGAACATAATGCTGTGAAATTTTGTTTAAATTCTTATATTATATAATATTAGTGAATTTGGAATCAAAGAATATAAAATAATAGTTTATATATTGTAAAATATTTTACATAATATTTTTCTTTATTATCATTAGACAATTATGATTTTTATTTTATTTTAAAGTTTTCACATTATATTATTATATTTTTATATTAATAAGAGGTTAATGTTCTTTTATGGTAAGACTTTCTTTTATTTTGTTTCTCTCTTTTAACATAAGAGTGTGTTATTAGTTAATCATAAAAAAAATATATTAATTATAATAAATATTTTTTATCCAAATATTTCAATTAATTATTTACAAACACTTATGATTATATTATATGTAGTAAAATTATCAGAATTTAGATGTAAGAGACGAAATTGAAACAGCTTAAAATATAAAAGACCAAAATAACAATTTATTGAAAATAAGAATAAACTAAACAAAATAAATGTATAATAATAACTAAAAATACTTGAATAGAAAAACTTCTAAATTATAAAATTTTAAATTAGGATAACTACAACGTAGTTACTTTTCCACAAATTTAGCGACGTAGTCCGAAAAGTGTGACATTAGAATATAAACGAGTTAACACAAGTTAAAGGTGGTCAAGGTCATTTCAAAAAGTCTCCAAGTTACCTTTGAACTTTTTAAAGTATGGATGGACTTTCAAAAACGTTTCATACGAATTTCAAAAATAGTTGTTTTACAATGAAATTCATATTCATGATATGACTCAAGGTTCCAAATTTGTAATCTTTAGCATCAGATTCAGCGTTAGGATTTTTGCCACTGTGTCTTTTATTGTCATTGACAGATTTATTTTTTATCTGATGTTTGACCCGTGCATCACCATTAAATATAAGCTTTACAACCTGACAATCACACAACTCAACTTAGACCTCATTTGATATTTTAAACTTGAAAGGAATTTAGAATTTGAATAGTGAAAACCATTTTTATAATAACGAAATTTTCTTATAAAAAGAGAAAAAAAAACTTAAATTATAGTGAAATAAAAAAATTCCTAAACATAACCATAAACATAAAAATTACAGGGAAAACAGCACGTAATATATAAAAGACAAAAAAGTAACAAAAAAATTTTCATTTGAAAACCCTAGATCCTACAAAATTAGAGAAAAGGTGTAATCAAATATTTAAAAGAAAAATAATTTAACAATATTTTCTCCACAAGAAAACCGTAAAAAAAAAAGGAAATAGTGTCCAAATGCCCAAAAGACAGAAAAAAATATATTTGAGCTTGTAAACTGTCAACAGAAAAAGTTAGTGTGAAGGGTCGTTTTATACGAAACCATCACTCGAAACAAATTATGGTCAAAATCATTCGTAAAAACCCTAAATCCCAACCCACATGACATCTGAAAATTTGTGAAAAAAAAATTTAAAATTTGTAATTTCGAACTCACATATAAACATGCTAAGGTTCGGATTTTATGCAGAAAGACAACCTCTGTATTTAAACAGAGCATTGTTTGTGAATGCAGTTGACTTTCTATATTGATGTAAATAACTACATATTACATGTAATCCTTGAAAGACCTAAAAATTAGGAAAAATGTTTATATATCATACACACCAAAGATTAATAATAAAAAAAAAAACGTAACAGGTTAGATAGAAGACAAAGAAAAAAAAAAGTTTGAAAACCTTGAACCCAAAAAATTAGAGAAAAAACTTAACCAATTACATAAAAGAAAAAAAAATGGACAATAATTTTTTTTCACATAAAATCCTAAACACACAAAATAAATAATGAAATCATAGCCTAATACCAATAAAAAAAAACATAAAAAGATTTGAGTTTGCAAACCACAAAGAGAAAAAAAATTAGTGAAAACATAATCCTAATGGCAAAGAACAGAAATACTAAAAAATATTCAAAAAAAATTAGATGAAATTTTGTTTGGATAAATATTGCAAAGTAAATTTTCAGAAAGAGCAGTTTCATTTGATTTATAGTTGAAAGAAGAAAAGCTTTTGAGTGTGATCAAGAAAAAATGGGTTTCGTGAGTAGAGTTTGTGGAGAGAAAAGTCATTATGTAGAGGAGTGAGTGTAAATGCTTTTGTATGTGATTGCGTTACATGATTTTATTTTATTTGTCTTTAACTGAAAATAGCTATAAAGTTATATATGACACTTAAACATGCATCAATTCTCATGGTAACTACTTCTAACTCTCACCAAAGAACTATCAAAACAAATTGTGTAAGATTAGGATATAAACCAGCTAACAAAGTATGCAAGTTATAAGAAGGTAAATTATTAAAGAGGTATTGTTGCTTCTTACATCTAATATATTGTTATGTTTATTTCAAAAAACCAAAACATACCTCACTGTTTGGATTTGAAGTTTTATGGATGTTAACTTGACAGGTGTAGAAAATTGTGCATGTAATCGAATAATGATAAAAACTATCATCCACTTGCATAATACTTAAAAGTATTTACAAATAGTTTGTCTAAACTAAAATGATTATCGAATATGAAAGTTTGTACGAATAAAAAAACTTCTATTCGATAACAACAAAACAATAAAGGAAATAAAATTGCATTTTTGTTTTTTAAATTTCAAATGTAAAAATAGATAAAAGATAGTTACAATTAAATTTCACCAAATATTAGCCTCATTTACAATTATGCAGACTATATTCTGTGATTCAATATTAAAATAAGTCATAAAGAGTTATTCTTAGCCCTAATCACTTAAGTTTTATTTTTCACTCTTATGCTCAATTCTTTGATCACATAACAATGGAATTTGCTTTGTGTATAATGACTACAAGATAACTTACAAACTAGAACCTATGGCAATATATAAAGTTCATAGAGTAAACTAAAGTCCAAACTCTAAATAAAATAAACATGTCCTACGGTGAAATCCTGAAGGCTTCTTACTAACTTCAAAATACTTGTCCTACTGTGAAATCATGATATGGTTCACGATTCCATATTTTTAAGTTTTAGTATCAGATGCAGCACTAGGACCATTGCCCACTGAGTCTTTTATTGTCATTGTCAGGTTTATTTTTACCTGATGCTTGATCTGTGAGCTCTTCTGCATCACTCTCATCAAATCCAACTAGACAAAAATACGTCATAAAGAATTGAAATTAAAATAAGAATAGAAAATGATCCACTCCACCAATAAAATAACAGACAGCAGGTTTACCATCATGATCGTCTTCCACATCATCCTCACCCACACCCATGCCCAGCTTCTGTAGTAAAAGAAACAGAGTAAATGTGTATGATTTCATCAAACTAAAAATGCAACCATTAAACTGTCTTCAGTTTTGCTACTTACAGAAAAAGCAAAGTTGCCAAAGTCCATGTCAGTTCCAGCTGGAAAAAAAAATGCATGAGACAACTGACGGAAAATGAAGACGTTATATTCACAGAATTGGGTATAATTACTAACGTTTATCTTCTTCTTGCTCCTCATCTTCGTCAACCGACTTTTCCCAATCTACTCTCAAAAATACTGGAGGTTTTCCTCCTTGCTTTAACAATCTGCTCCACCATTTGCTCTCAATTTTACTCACTATGTAGAAGATATTTCTTAAACCAACAGTAGTTTTGCTATTCTGAGGGAAAACATTAGCATACACCATCAGTTAATTGTGTAAAATATTTTATTAACAAACAATTATGAAAATGGAGCTCGTACCTTCACATCAATCTTGTCAAAGAGATCAATGTTAAATTCATAAGGAATCTTTTCTGCACCACGAGTAGCAGAGAAGTAAAATTTTCCTTCTGGCTCAAGTATAAGCTTCACATCCTGGGCATCAGGTACCTCAACCGTTATGTAGATCTCATCGGACCTCTGGGCCCATTTGATAGGAGGGTGGCGGCTGTATTTTAAAATTCAAAGGAATTAGGACTTGAATACTAAACCATTTTTATAGTAATAAAAAAAATCTTAAAAAGGAGAGAAGAAAGTGGAACACAAATTATAGAGAAACAAAAAAATAAATATATGCAAGAAATCCCTAAACTAAAAATCTAGATAGTAGAAAGTAAGAAGTGTAAAGCGAAAAATGTAACAGGGTATATACTGTTGAGCCAAATTAAGGTATACACAAACTTAACCAACCCTAAATAAATGGAGTTCCTTTACTTTTTCACTTTACGCATATCTGTTTAGACATTAGAAAAATCCAATTTCCAATCTTTATACATAACTGAAATGCTGGAAACATCCATTAACTGAACAACAGAAACAATTTAGCCTAATATTATACCACCATGTCATAATGTATCGATTTTTTTTTTATCAAAAGTATTTAAAGCAATCACACAATTCTGATGTTGACATTTTCGTGAATTTTTTTAGAACAAAACAAAATAACAGAACCACCCTACTTCTTGAAGTTTTCTTTAAAAATATGATCTAAAATATTGATTCAAAGTATCCAAACTCTGCTGCAATGGAGCAATAGAAATCTCAGAATAACCCGTTCCACAATTATATTTTTAGTCCTTATAAAAGTAGTAAATTTCTATTTGATCCTTGTAATTTTTTCTTTATTTTTTATCCTTATAAAATTTGAAATCACTATTTTTTATTCTTATAATTTTAATCTTTATAAAATATTTTTCTTTCATTTTTCATCTTTTTAACTATTTTAAATCACTACTTTTAGTTTCAAATATTCAATTTAATATAGATAAATAACATTTATTTTATGAATCTTATAATTTTTTCTGAGGTGTCACATGGTAACGTTATATATATATATATATGATAATATTAACATGTATCACTTTGAATGTCACTCAACCTTCTGTTCACGGTATAAGCAGCTATGCTGACATTTTATCATAATATTAATACTAGGAATCAAAAGTAATAATTTTTAATTTTTAGAGAGATAAAAGCAAAGAAATTTTCTTTATTGAGACAAAAATCATAACTCACTCATTTTACTGAAAGCAATAACATATTTAAGTCATAAATAAAATAAAATAAAAGGTAATGAAAAATTAGAAAGGAAAAATATCATGCTGGCCTACTTCCATGTAATTTATTGGTTTAAACTTTTAATTAATTAAAAATATACTTGAAAAACCTTGAATGGATCACACTTGGGTTCATCAAATTTGAGCCTACAAGGGATTCTACTCTGAATCACAATATAGTTTTAACTTCCCCTCAAACTTCTAATTCAATGTCAATTTGTCCTTGATAGTAGGAGCATCAATATAAATGAATTAATTTAAATTTTGAACGGGAATTGACATCAAATGACAGCACTGTTCAGCCAGTATAAGCATAAAACTTATGTGCATTGGTCTCTCTGTCAATAATTCATCAATCATCCAACTCAGAGTGGCCTTTGAGTATGAAATAAAAACAAGATATACATACTAACAAACCACATCAAAACTCATGCAGCAGATATTGGATAAAATTGAAAAATAAATATAATAAAGAAAAATCACCATCGAATCCTTTACGAATAAAACAGTGAAAAAGAACTTCTCTCTGTTTCCAGCGAGGAACAAATAAACAAAAACTACGATCAACCGATGAAGCCCGAACAACCAGCAAACCAGAGACAATCTAATATGCCTTAATCAAATCGCCAAACCCTATTCTTTTTTTCTTTTTTGGGAAATAAAACTGACAACAAAGAGAATGCGAAAGAAGAAGAAGCGGGAAAAAAAACCTATGCAAGTTTTGTACTACAATTCATTCACCAAACACCTAAAAATAAAGATAGATAGTGTCAACGAAATAGAACGCAGTATATATTGAATTAAATTTGGTGTTGCATCACTTTGCTCGAGTAATAGAAAAAAACGCACCTCATCTTGGTAATTTCTGGAGAAAACGACGTAAAAGTAGAACTGCGAAGTAGGTTGATATCACGAACAGCAAGACGAAGGGGCTATGAAAGCGCTTGAATACTTCGATTATAAAAGGATCAAACCAAATAAATCTATAAATAAAAACAAGATATAAATTTCTCTTCAAGATGAAATTATATTTAAATAAGAAAATGTGAATTTTATTTATTAAAAAATATGAAATGTTTATTTTAAAATTTTTGTTTTTTTATCTTTTACAATTTTTTTATTTAACTTTTAGTCAAATTTATTTTAATTAATATTAAATTTCATAATATCTTATTTAACGTCCAACCAACATCATATCTAAAAAAAACAATAGAGTCACCTTACATAATAAAAGAATAAGGTCTTGTTTATTAAAGATATAAGATATATATTTTAAAGTTAGAGAAAATTATATAATTTTATTAAAAATATAATAAAAGTAGTTTTTAAAATATTATTTAATATAACCGTACAATTTTTCTGTAAATAATAAAAAATAAATTATATTTAAATCGTACTCTTTTATAAAACATACAGAAGAAATATTTATTTTATGTAATCAAAATTAGACTGAATATATATTTTTAAATGGATAAATTATATTATAATCAAAACTTGTCATGCATAAATATTACTAAACATATAAACTAAAATTAATATTTATGGTAAATAATTAATTCTATAATATTATTTTTAATTATTGTTAATTTTTAAAATATCACTCCCATCAAAGTAGAATTAAAAATATTTCAGATGACTCGAGGATAAGATAAATTTAAATATCACTCCCGTTCAAAAAAAACATGCGTGCACTAGCAAAGCACGGTTAATACGGCTTTTCAATCAAATTTAAATTTTCACTTCAACAAATTTTCAAATAAAATTTGAAATGAAGCATGATTAAAATTTTATTATTATATTTTCTAGTTCTGTAAATAATACACTATCATATTTACAAAGTTTATAAATTGAATGTATTGCAAATAATTTTGGTTAGTAAAGGTAGGAATACAAGTAGATTTTCTCAGTTTGAAGAACTTAGGGGAAAAAATTAAAATTTACTTTAATATTTATTTTGTAAATTAGAATAGATAGGTTGAGAATTGATTTACATACTTCTATACTTAACTAAAAAAATCTTAATAATCTCAACTTAATTCAAATTTATATGTATATATAAGAGAATCAACTTATTCAAAATAAAATATAAACAATGTAGATTACAATTTTTTGTTACAAGGTACTAATTGACGTTAATTTGGCTCCTAAATATTTGTGTATATATTATAAATACCATCAATTTATGAAAATTTTACTAAAGGCAAGTAAGTCCCCTGTTGCTCGATTCATAACAAATATTTCGATCAACTACATAACAAATATAGCCTCAAAATTCGACCAATTTGTTACAACTTCATAACATCAAAAATTAAGAATTAAGAATAACTACATATACAAGAACTTTCAATCAGCACTGATTGTCATTTTCAAAGAAAGTGGTATATTTTCTCTTCTTTTAATATTCAAAAGTAATTGAACTATAAGATGATATCTTCAACCCAATGGTGTTCTGGATTACAATAAAAATTATATAAGTGAACCGGTAGTAGTAGGAATAACAAATAATGACAGCGTCAAATCTGGAACTCTTTAGCAACTTACACCGTTCAAAATATTTGTTAAGTATATGATAATTAAAAAACTCTTAAATCACATCATCATAGTTATGCTACACAAACCTACAGTAACAAGATGAACTGAAAAACACTCGAATCAACTTGAGAAATGCCTATAGTAAAGCCTCTGGTCTGGTCCTAAGCAACAATTACACCTTCAGATGTGAGTTTCAACAATTACATTGTGACTATTCCTTTGCTAGCCTTGCCTCAAACCCCCCTCCAGGCCTCTTTACAAGATTGAAAGGCATGTATGTCCCAAGAAGTTTATCCCATATGGAAAAGAATGGCTGAGAATAATTGTACTTCAGCCCTTGCAGTTGATGATGGATGTCATGGTAAGCTGTGTTGTTCTGGAAAAACAAATGGAAGATGTTGCCAGGCAACCTTAGTCCACAGTGATCATCAACAGTTTTCACCACAGCGAAGCAGAAGAACATAACTGCTGTTCTTGCAGTCATCCCTGAGACAAGAAATGAGATGGCACCACCTATAGTGTCAAGTAGAAGACCCTCAATTGGGTGATTGTAAAGGGCTCCTATTGCATACGGAACAACCAGTCTGTGATGCTGAGAGTGGACATGGCGATATAAAAACTTGTTCTGATGCATGTACCGATGGACAAAGTACTGCCATGTGTCCATGACAAACATCGCAATAAGGAACTGCAAGATTTGCTTGGCAATAGAAGGTTGCTCTACAACCCCAGATGCTTTTGTCGTTGTGGTCAACTGCAAAGTTGCAGCAAGCATATCATTATCAGTCACTATCAGAAACAGCTAAGAATGTCAACAGAAAATTATTGGATTTCTAACAGTGTAAGCAATTTCTCTCCCTCGGGCATTTATTATGATTTATTATGATAGGTCCGCTATAAGAGGCATCTAGAAACTTCAAAGAGTTTGTTTAACTATTTAGCACACATAAGACATCATTTAAGAAGCAATAGCCAAGCTCTAGCAATATAATGGCTTATATTCTATACTTTAATTCCTTAACTTGAACCTCTTCGAGTATATAGAGGCCAGGCTAATAACACGGTAGCTTCATCAGATTGCAAACAGGAAAGCCTAGAGAAATAAAGAAATAACCAGATGAAAATGATATACGATCTGCTCAACTGACTAAACAAGATCCACTACAACAACAACAACCTCTATCCTACTAGGCGGTGAAACTTGAATAAAGATTCACAAAAAAGATAAATACTTTAATATGTTTGAACAGAACACAAATTAGTCAGAATTATGGCTACAGCAAATCTCAGGGTCCATTAAAATTTATTATACAGATTAAACATATTAACTTGCATGAAATAGCTCTTAAATAATGATTATTCTACTGTTAATATGACAAGGTGAAAGGGAAGTCATAGGGCAACAGATTGTGTGAATTTGTTAGTGTCATTTCAGATAATAAAAGAAGACACTTCTTTTCCCATAAAACTCAAGCATAACGCTGATAATTTAAGATGGCTTTGTAACACAAGAAAAGACAGGATACAAAATGAATGTGTATGAGAAGAGATATATTTGGCGCCAATTGAAGAAAGGATAACAGAAAATGGATTAAGATGGTTTCGACATATATTTAAATGCCATGAGAGGCACGGTGAAAATAATAGATTGTAGCTTTCAGTCCTATGAAGAGGATGGCAGGGAGATCAAGAAGAAACTAAAGAAAGTTGGCTAGAGGGATAAGGCTTTGGGGGTGGTGTTCTTATACTGTCTCCAAATGTTGATTTCACTTTCTTACTTTTAAATATTTCTCTTCTTTCGTCAGGGCTAGAAAAGTGGATTATAAATTCAGGCTATTCACATATCAAGCAATTGGTTAGATCACTCCATGAATATGCCACACCATGCAATTTGGTAGATCACATATAGAGACACATTGTGCCACCGTGCCCAAACTGAAAATATGTTTTACATATTTGAAACTGTACAAATTCATGCAAAACAACAATGATCACTCTTAAAATGTTAAAGAAACAACTACCTCATTTAAGTCAATATCCCTCTCTCTCTCTTTCTCTCTCTCTGTGTGTATTTCCGTCTGTTTCTCCTTTTTGCTTTTCATTCAGTATGCTTGAACATATACGTTTTCAAAATCACTCTGCACTGCACTAATAGAAGAGTCACCTGGGCTCTTCTTCTGGTTGGGTTTTCCTAATATTACTCTTTATTTGGACTAATTTTGGGTATTAAAGTTGTTTAATCAAATAATTGGGCCAAAGGTATTTATGTAACGCCTTTTATATTTAATGCAAAAAAATCTAACTCTAAATAACTGATGCCGTATCATTTTGCAAAAAAATAAAACAAAGGGGCCCTCATCTTTTTAAGATGGAAAGGGAGATACGAAAAACATAAAGAGTCATTTTCCCTTAAGATAAACAAGGATGAATGCTACAGAAAAAGAACAATTAGAAATAGGGATAATCAACCGAATCAGAAACTAGAAAATGGAAAAACAGACTAATTTTAAAAATGCTACTACCAACAAATTTGAAGAATAGCATCAGCAAGCAACTGCTCATACTTGAATAGTTTTTTCAACTAAAAAACTATGTTTACTACAAATTTTATCGTAGAAATTAACTAAAATGTAGAAGAACTGACCAAGAAGAGAGCAACAATTGCCTGAACAAGCTGCTGAAGCAAAACACCCTTCACAACTGTTGAAAAGGGAACCAAATTCTTCTTTTCCTCGTCTTTCCTAGTATGCAACCGATACTTGTCTAAAGGGGGGAGCAAGTGATAAAATCCAGCATATACCCAATAAACCACGATAGGGGCAAATGTGCCCATCAATTCATCGCTCACATATCTTTCCCAGAAAACCATTGCACGGGTTCAAATGTGGAAACGAGACAATTTCAAGCAAAAACAATCCAACCCAGAAACAAACTCAGCAAGTCAAAGCTGCTTTACAGCTCAAGATCTTAACTAGGACAAGCTCCTCCACTCTCTGAAAAGAAAAATCAGAACTGTTTACTTGATGGGCAGACACAAGAAGAAACAAAAAAACCTAACAACTTCACATGTGTTTGTTTGCATTATTCTTTAACTTCACAAAACAGAAGAACCAATGGCGATAAGAGCCACAGAGTTTGCATTAAACTATGTTTAATTCCCAAAACCTGACAATGAGAAGATGTTTAAACTTCCCCGGAAGTTCTCAGAAACCAAAATCATTGAAATAAACTTTTCAACAATGAAGAAGAAACCCATGACAGAATCTAGCACAATAGCTTACCAGGATACCCAGATGATCAAAATGTTTTCAGCTCATTGCTC